CTGGGCCCCGACACCGACCCAGAGGTCCTGGTCCTGGTGCACAAGCTGAAGGAGCTTCTGAAGGAGTTGCCAAAGGCTAACATCACTACGCTGCGCTACATAATCCGCCACCTCCGGAGGTCAGCAATTATAAAAAAAACAATTAAAATGAGGAAGATAAATCTCCAGGCTCCTTTATTTATTCTCTCTTCGTGCCTCCAGGATTGCAGAGCTAGAGGAAGACAACAAGATGAGTCCCAGTAACCTGGGTATTGTGTTTGGTCCCTCCCTGATGCGTCCCCGTCCGACCGGGGCCACGATATCCCTGTCCTCTCTGGTCGATTACCCCCACCAGGCCCGCATCGTGGAGTCCCTCATTGTCTTCTACTCCTCCATCTTCCAGTCCAAAACCTCTCGGACCCACAAAACCTCTCGCACTGCTTCGCAGCAGGTATGGATGGGAACAGTTATAAAATAATTATATATCAAATGTTATTTTCCACTTTCACTGAATTGAAGTTTTTCAAACAACTTCAGTCCTGATCGTTACAAAAATGTATTCATTCATTTTCAGAATTTCAACCCTTTAAATGCCAGCTTGTTTACATAACGCCACTGTTCAAAAGAAAAAAACTAAGAATTATTTTCTGTATGCTAAATGCTGAAGAGGGAATTCACAGTCTGGGTTATTCAATGATTAGCAACAACATTGATTTTTGACTGCGATGCCGATAGTTGAAACCCTTAACGGCTGTTGGAATATAATGCTGTACTGGCTGTGGGGGAAACAAAAGTTTTAATGGGTTTCAACAGGAACATTTTGGTCCTGGAGGGTCTGAGTGTCTCTATTTTGACGACACTGTTTATTAAATTTCCTCTTATCGGAGCTAAGATTGAACCGTCAAAATAAGAAGTATGCCATTAACAAAGGCAAAATTATGGAAAAGTTAAAAAGAAAAAAAATGTCCCTGGTGCGATGCACAAGGTTGAGATTTAGTTATACAGGTTGTAACTATGACCTTTTTAGTTTTTTGGACACTGAAATACACCGCTGAGCCTTTCGGGGGTGTTGTCGGCCTTTTTATATGAAATTTGAAGGCAATAAATAAATGGGCGTTAGATGTGACGACCTGATTTATGGTCCTGTGGATTTGACGCCACAGCCAAATATTTGGTCATTTCACATTTGCATTGTAGCTTTTCATTAAAATGAATGGGTCCCTGTGTGACGGCACCCACCAGAAAGGATCCTAACCTCCCACAGCAGCTAGTTACAAATAAAATATATTAATAATACAATTTAGTGTATTTTTTTTAGGGTGTGAGTTTGCTAGTAAAAAGATCTTAATTAATATTTATTTTGAATAAGATATTTACAGAAGAGAACTTGAACCCTTAGGAGTCATTTGTGAAATGTTGGTTTACCGCAGAGAAGTGGAAACCTGTTTTACTCTAACGAATGAAAGATGGTCTTACTGAGAAGCTGCCAATAATTCATAAGCATGAACAAAACCTGGTGTACCTCTTCCTGTTGCTGTCAAGAGGCAAATATATAATAAACTAAAACATCAGCACAGTTATGACCTACAGTTGCGATTCATTGGAATACAGCTTTTCCCTCCTGATTTGCATGTTTTGATATAAGGTCTCTGATCTGAAAAAAAAAAAAAAGGTCAAAGCTCAGATTGTTTTTCTTGATAACAATCTCTTCATTTCCCCCTCCTGGTTCAGGAAAGTATTGCAGATGACAAGATTGTGAGCTCTGCTGATGCAGAAGAGGATGGAGGCAGCGAGGAGCCAAATAAACCCGAATCTGACAAGATGGAGGAGGGATGTGGTACGTTTTTGTGTTTTTTTTTTTTTTTTTTTTTTTAATAAAGCCTAGGTTGTATAATACTGTTGAAAATGATCGAACTTCCCCTCAAAGAGTGGAATTAAAAAGAAGTTCACTCATGCTCTTCTCGCTCCCATTGACTTCATGGTATTTAAAGGTATGCTATGAACGATTTCACTAAAATAATGTAGATTCATTCAAAAATAGTCCCTCAATCACCATTTATGACCATCTATGACAGGGAACCAGACTGCGACCAAATTTTGTTGCGTGTGTTAAAATTTCTCGTGGACACAATCATGCAAATTCATGGTGATCATAAACAGAGGTGCCCTTCAGAAAGTGCGTAGAACTTTACAAAACCCTCCATTTAGCTGTTAACGTGTTCTGACAATGACGCGGCCTGTAGCTGATTATTTACAAAAGTAAAATGAGGAGAGAGGAGGCGGCTGATGGGGATGGAGAGACAACGCGAGGTTCCAACTCAGACACCACTGACGATGCAAGCGGGGTATGCATCGATTGCTTTTTCCAAAAAAAAAAGATGCAACCAACCGAGAAGGTTTGTAGCTCTATTTTGCCATCAGCATTTTGTCGCTGGTTGTGAAACACCCCCTCCCCCCCCAAGCATGTGCAAACACGCATCCAACAGAAATCCATGATGATGGTGAGCACGGTGCGGGAAAAGATGCAAATATAGAGAGGCAAACACCAAGCGGAAGCTCTAAAACTTTTTCCAAAACAAGAGTGAATGTTGCTTTTACTGCAGCCTGTGACGCTGCAGGTGGTACACTGGGCTGTGTTCTGATAATCGGGTCAGGGAGGAGCCTCTGGTGTTGTGGCAGAGGGGCACTAAAACAGTTAGTCGTTGTTTACAAACAGTGAGCGACAATTCCTGCACAGTGTGCCTTTTTAAAAGTAGACGTCATACAAATGTAGCGCTTCTAAAAATGTAATTATCTGTAATTTACTGCAATAAAAACATCTTACCCCTGTGCAACCATTGGACTCTTCTATCTCCATTTAGGAAGTTCTTTGGGGTCTCTGGGGTCTAGTGAGCAGCTCTCCGACTCGGAGCTGGACGAAAGCGGCCAGAGGACTGCGCTCCCCCCCGGCCTGGTGAAGCAGGAGAGCGAGGTGAAGCAGGAGAGCGAGGTGAGCGTGGACGACGACCAGCTGAGCTACGGGGACAGTCTGGACCTGTCCAGCCAGTCTGCGACCCAAACCGACCCGGAACAGGATGCAGATCAGGGCCACGCTGTAGCGGAGCCCCCTGCGCTGCCGGACAGCGGGCCACCAGATGAAGAGACGGCGGCAGAGCAGGACCTGAGTGCCTCTCTGGCCGAGCTCAACGTGAACCAGAACAACAACTACCCATTGTCCCCCATATTGAGCTTGTCGGGGTTTCCATTGGCACGTCTGTGTCAAAAGAAACTACCCCTGACCAGAAACCGGGACAGTGAGCCTGAGTTTGTCTGATTTCATGATCGAAACCATTGTGTGTGTGTGTGTGTGTGTGTGTGTGAAGTCTGTTAGTTTGAGTTGAATGAAGGGATTATTGA